TTTTAGATATGAAGGAAAAAGAGTAATAGAATATGAATATCACATATATTGTGGTTAAATCTCTATGTAACAAATCAGTTACTCCAGTGTCAATCATTTTGGCTTTTTAGGTTTTCTCTTGAAAAGATTTTGGTTTGTTCTTATTTTTGTTGTGATTTGTCTAGGAAATTTGGGGGTAATAAATATCCTATTTCCTTTGGATTGTGGCTAATGAAATGAGATATAAATAAAGAAGAAAAATGAATAAAATTGGGGTTTTGAAGTAGAGGTTGGAGGATTGAGTGATGCCATGAAAGTAACTTCAACGTTGTAAAGGATGGTGATGGGTGTGCGGAAGAAGATGAAGTATTTGGGGTGGGTAGTGGGGATGAGTGGATGGCTTAAGTTTTTTTTTTCCCCCGTTTTTTCGTTTTAATTATTTTATGATTAAAGAAATTACTTCTCCTTAAAATGGTCAACATACTTCATTTTTTATTTTTTTTAAGTCAATGGACTGTGTTTTGGACGGTTTTCGTCCATATGGACCCTAGCAGCATATTTATGAAAGGTTGTGAACCTTCGTTGGCAAAAAATGATGGTTAGGGTAAAGTCTGCAAAAATTGAAAATGTTAATGATTGCTTCTACAATTTTCCCAAATTTAAGTTACAAAATTATTCAATTTTTGCAAAAATGAGTAATCAAAGTAAAAAAAAATCATAAATATAACTTACAAACTTCATCAAAATATGAAGTTTGTTAAAAGTAATAAATTAATCATGTGAAATATTTAAAATTTAAATCGTATATATGTCAATAAATCATGAATTGGTTTTCTATTATTTTTATTCTGACTATTAGTGTGTGTGGGTGTGTGTATTTTTTTTAAAGCATGTTGCTCATCCCCGACATAATTCAGTTCGAAAAGAAAAAAAATTAGACTCAAAATGGTATGGTGGAATCTAAAAATTTTGTCCAAAGTTTAGGTGCACAAGTTACTCTGTGCAATTGATGAGGTAAAACTACAATTTTAAATAAAAAGACAAAAAAAATCTATGAGAATTTATGATATCCATGAGAACCCTAAAACCAAGTGGCAAGTGGCATTTCCCTTGAACCAATCAATAAGGAGTTATGCTACTTAGTGTAACTGGTATTAAAACAGAAATGATCTAATGAG